ATGGAAAAATAAATACCACATGTGCTCACTATTAAATTGGAAATAACTGATGAGAACACATGTGCATAGGGGGAAGTAAAACTCTATGGAAATCAAGGACAGGGGAGGGGGCAGGGGAGGATGTGTAAAAACCTACCTAATGGTTAAAGTGAACACTACGAGGGTGATGGGCACACTTTTAACCTTCACTCAAGCATTAGAAAAATGATCCATGTAACCAAAAACATTTGTACTCCCATAATAGTTAGAAGTTAAATAAATAAATAAATAAAAATTAGGCAAAGGACCTAAATAAATCTTTCTCAAAAAAAGACACAGAAATGGCCTACATATGTATGAAAAAACGGTCAATGTCTCTACTCATCAGGGAAATGCAAATCAAAACCACAATGAGATACCACCTCATACCTGTTAGAATGGGTATTATCAAAAAGATAAAAGATAAGTGTTTGCCAGGATGTGAAGCAAAGAAAACCCTCTACACTGTTGGTGAGAATACAAATTAGAACCACTATTATAGAAAATGGATTGGAGGTGCTTCAAAAACTAAAAACAGAATGAATGTATGATCCAGCAATTCCACTTCTATGGATATGTATATTCAAAGTAAGTAAAACGAGTCTCTTGAAGTAATAACTGCACTCTCATGCTCATTGCAGGATTTTTCACAGTAGCCAAGATATGGAATCAACTTAACCATCTATTGATGGATGACTTGATAAAGAAAATGTATTTTCACATTTTCATTATTCATGTATATTATATATATATATATTATACATATATTATATATATGTATATATGTACACACACATATGTATATATAGAGAGAGAGAAAGAGAGAGATAGAGAGAGAGAGAAAGTTCAAAAGTTCATAGAAAGGGGAAATTAAAAGATAAAACTAGAAAATGTAAACTTTATTTCTAAACATAAGCTCCATCAAGTTCAAGACATCCTTATAAGCAATAATACTGGACATTTAGTCCATTCCTAAAGAACTGAGGGTCCTGAGAATTAAATCATATCAATGTATCCTTTTAACATTATTAACTGAAAAAGGGATGTCCTTCAATGATTTTTTAAGATTAGGAAACAAAAAAAAGTCAGAAGGAGCTAAATCAGTACTGTAAGGTGGATACCTAATGATTTCCCATCAAAACTCACAAAATTGCCCTTGTTTGGTGAGAGGAATGAGCAAGAAAATTGTGATGGAGAAGGACTCTCTGGTGAACTTTTTCTGGGAATTTTTCCACTAAAGCTTTAGTTAACTTTCTCAAAACATTCTCATAATAATCAGATGTTATCATTCTTTCACCCTCCAGAAAGCCAACAACCAAAATATCTTGAGCATCCTAAAAACCTGTTGCCATGACGTTTGCTTTTTACTGGTGTACTTTTGCTTTGACTGGACCATTTCTGCTTCTTGGTAACCATTGCTTTGATTGCACTTTGTCTTCAAGATCATCCTAGTAAAGCCATGTTTCATCTCCTGTTACAATTCTTTGAAGAAATGCTTCAGGATCTTGAACACACTCATTTAAAATTTTCATTGAAAGCTTTGCTTTTACCTGCAGCTAATCTGGGAGCAACAATTTTGGCACCCACAGAGTAGAAAGTTTGCTCAACTTTAATTTTCAGTCAGAATTGTGTAAGCTGAACCAATTGAGATGTCTATGACATTGGCTATTGCTTGTGCTTTTAAACATTGGTCCTCTTCAATTAGGCCACAAAGAAGATTAATCACTTTCTCACAAATTGATATAGATGATTTATTTGGGGCATTGTCCCCATAAACTTTTTGTAAAGCATCAGTGATTTCACCATTCTTCCACCCAAGCTTCACTATAAACTTGATGTTTGTTCTTATATTAATTATAGCAGAATTCATGTTGTTCTGATAGAGGCTTTCTTCAAGCTGATGTCTTATCCTTCTTAGAGCCTCAAACTAGATCCTGTTCAGACATGACATAACATGTTAATATAAGTTTATTTGGGTGCAAGATAATTTTAATGTCCATGCATAGTTTTTTTTTCATAATATGCATTTTCCACGAACTTTTTGAAGACCTTTTGTATATATACAATAGAATACTATTTAGCCTTTAAAAAGAAGGAAATTATGTAATTTGTGACAACATCAATGAACCTGGAGACATTATGCTAAGTACCATAAGCCAAGCACAGAAAGACAAATACTGCATGATATCACTTCTATGTGATATCCTAAAAAGTTGAACCCATAGAACCAGAGAGTAGAATAATGGTTGCCAGGAACTGGGGGTGGGGCAGGGGTGGCTGAGAGATGTGAGTCAAAGGGTATAAAGTTTCAGTTAGATAGGAAGAATAAGTTCTGGAGATCTGTTGTACAGAGGATAAATATAGTTACTAATAATACATGTCATACTTGAAAATTGCTAAGAGTGGATCTTAAGTGTTCTCACAACAAAAATAATAAGTATGTGAAGTATGGCTATGCTAATTAGCTTGAATTTAATCATTGTCCATTGCATTTGTATATCAGAACATCACATTGCATACCATAAAAAAGGAATTCTTTTTATTGTAAGGAAGAATGTGGTCACATGCTAAAATATGAAATAGACCTACACGCCAAAAATTCAAGTGAATCCAGTGGCTAGGCTGTGGGGACGGTGAGAACCAAGGCATCTTTGAGGTCTGTCTACATTCTCTCTTCTGCCCTCTCCCATTCTCCTTCCTTTCCCTCCTCTTTTCTGCCCTCCTTTCCCCTCACCTTTTCTTCTCTCTCTTTTTCTGGCAACATTTTTCTTTCCTCTGTCTATTCAGTTGGTTCTAAATGGCTTTTTCTGGATACCCCAGCTTCTCTCCTTCATTTATTTGTTCCATTTGCAAATGCTTCATCCTCATCCTGGACTGTTCACCCTCCTTTTCTTACCTGGCTTTTCTTACCTGTTCTTTTAATCATCTTAGCTGCAGCCTCTTCCAGATAGCTTCCCTTAATTCCCTCTAGTGAAGGTTTTATGTGGCTTCTTGGTAGTTCTATAACACCCAGTTTATAAAATTATTGTTGTACTTTCAACAGAATATTGAGGTTATCAGCTTAAGTGTTTTTGCCTCCTTCATATTGACCACACGTTCATTGAGGGCTAGAAATGTGTCTAATTTATCTCTGTGTACCAGACTCCAGAAAGTGTCTGTCACATTAACTGATGCTCAACAAATGCTTGTGGAACTCAGGCTAAGATCATATCCAATTACCCTGAAACTATCTAAAGTGAATGGGAAGATCAGAAATTTGAGGATTACAATTAGCTATTGCAAATCAATAGTCGGTGGTTCAGCTTCAGAAAGTATGTAGCCTTCTCTGATATCTTCTAGAGTCAAACCAAAGCTTTTCAAAAGGCCCAAAAGGTGGGCCTGAAGATTCGGCCCAACTGGAATCTTAATTATCCTCTAGCTTTAGAATCAACCAGTCACTGTCCAGTGAACAAAAAGGAAATTCTAGTCCTGGGAGACAAATGAAGTAACAAGTTTGCGTTAGCCTTCTCTCCACTTTCAATGCTTTTACATTCCCTTTATTCCAAGGTGCTCCTTTGGGAAAGGATCAGCATTCAATAACATCTTAATCTTGTTAACGGAAAAAAAGGCAAACTCTGTAAAATAATTTTAAATAGATTTATTCTGAGCTATATTTGAGGACCATGACCTGGAGCCACACCGAAGAAGCCTTGAGCAAGTGGACTCACTGTGGCTGGGTTACAGGTTGGTTTTATACAGTTCAGGGAGACAGGGATTACAGGTAAAGTCTTAAATCAATACGTGGGAGGTATACATTGGTTTGGCCTGAAATAGGTGGGCCATCTTGAAGGGGGAGTGGGGTGTGGGGAGGCTTACAGGTTATAGGTGAGTTTAAAGATTCTTTGACTTGCAATTGTTAAAGACATGAAGCTTTGTCTAAAGGTTTGCAATGTTTTAACATAAGAAGCTGTTTATCAGAGATAAGCCATTGGGCATATTTGTTGTGTAAATTGAGGACCTGCAGGTTTGTCTTGCAGCTCCTTAGGCCTGTTAATGGGTTATAAAGCATGTCCCCAAGAAGGGAGAGGGGGCATGATGAGGCATGGCTGACCTCTCCCTTGTGGCAGGCAATTTAGTTTAAGGATATTCCTTTGGTCAAGAGGGGGTCCATTCAGTCATCTGGTGGGGGGGTGAGCCTTAAGATTTTATTATAGTTAACAATATGTTATCCCAATTGATATATGTGCATTTTTAAATATTATTCCAGAAAAATTACTCAAAAAATGAATTATTTTGTTGAAATTTCTAACAATGTGGTACTAGCATAGAGAAATATTTTGGAGACTTCCAGGAGACTTCCTCATACCCATTAAACCAGACCACATCAAAAAGTTATTATTCTTTCCATTCATAAAGTGATTCTAGGTTATGAATTATATAAGCATCAAAACATGGCAATGTTTATCTATTGCTTACTGAGCATTTGCTATGTGCCAGACACTGTGTTAAACATTTTATAAACACCATCTCTCCTAATCTGCATTACATTTTAAGAATGTTGGTATTGTCATCCTAACTGTACAGATAAGGAAGGAGACTCAAAAGAATTGAGTAATGTGCCAAAGTCACACAAATAGTAAATGACAGAACCTTGAGAGTGTCTAATTTCTAAATAATTATCATAGCCACTATGTTATTCAGTTTTTGCTGTACTCATTGCTTTAAGATTCTGGAAGAGTAGACAAAATAAACAATATGAATCATTTTTGTAGAAAATTCATGAGGTAAACATCAGATCTTCTGGTTCAGAAATATTAGTTCTCTCAGGAGTTTGTTTTAAATGTAAGCAGACAGTCAGATGTTCAATAAAGGAAAATTAGATTTAATTAATGAATATGGTTGAATAATTAGAAAGTTTTGGAGTTTGGGGATTTTTTTCCAAAAGCACCCTTATTTAAAATAACTTATAAAGTCATATTCTATTTCCTCTAAGCCTCTATTAATACAAAAGTATATTTTTAAAAACAGCCATTTCATTGAAGTCTTTTAAGTACAGGAGATCTTATTATTTTTGGTGCATCTTCTTACGCATTTCTTCGAGAGCTGCTTCTTTCTCTCTTAGCACCTGCTTAAGTCTTCTTATTTTTTCATCTCGAATGGTTTCTTCTAACTCAGGTGGTATCATGGGGAAAATATCTTCAGCATAATTTTTATTAAAGGAATGACTTTGTTCATGAGCTGCATTTGAACTCAATGAGCCTTTCTCTTGCTTCTCATGGATATAGTGTTCTATCTCAGTTTTCTTTTCTTCTCTGCTCTTGTTGAGGCTTGTGTGAATGTTATGTTGTGATACATCTGAAGCTGGTAAAATACTGTTAAGGAGTTGGGAACTGGTGACATTAGTTCCCCCATTTATGACTGCGTCATAAGCATTCTCAGTTTTTCTCTTCTTTGTGTGATCCATCTTCTTAATGGTTTTTGCTTTTCTTTTCTTATCAAGACTCTGTTTTCTTTTTTTTGCATTCACCATAAACTCTGTATCTTTGTAAGTACCACTCGTCACCAAACTGCTAAAGGAATCAAAACCTTCTCCAGAGCCAAAATGGTCAGGAATTCGACTAAGACACACTCTCAAATCTTTAGTAAGACCAAATATCTTTTTTAATTCAGCATCACTCTTCAGATATGATGTCTTATTATTTCTTCCTTGCAAAACTTTCTTGTTTCTTTCTTTAGTACCTTTTTCTAATGTTGATGCCATCTCATTCTGGATCAGTGCGAGGCGTTGCCTGAATTTTCCTCTGCGGGTTTCAGTAAGACCCTCTGGAGGTTAT